GGGTCTCTTAACTCATCATCAACTTGCTGAAGTTGCCCTACAGTCATGTCCTTAATAGGTGATGTCCCTGGATTAATAATCTGGATGGGTACCCTCTGTTCTTTTGACTGTACAATAACTCTTGCTACAAGAGCACCTTTCCCGGATAACTTTATATTAGGGTCTAAGATGCTTTTATTTAAAGTGGGATTTCGGACTCTGGCAGTTTTGAAAACTTCTTGTTTCGCCGGAACAACCAAATCCTCATCTAAAACAACGCCCAGGGGATCTGCTATGGTTGAATCAAATAAACACAAGGGTTTTAGGGTACCATCTGGGAATTTCAAAACCATTTCAGCCATATCGACATTTACTTTGTTAGTTACTAACCAATCTAAACCCAGAATAATTTCAGACACCATTTCATTAGCCACATAAAAGTCATGAGATGACTTGTTGTTTTCATCAAATTGCACATTCAAGGTGGTTTTGCCCAAAATCCCAGTGGGGGAATTGTTGGCGGCTTCTGCAACAATATCGGATGGAAATAATGGGTTATCATCCAGTTTAAGAGGTTGCCACTGGTCTTTACTAACTAATGAAATGGATGCACCAGTGTCAACTATACAAAGTTTGTTTTTCCCATTAATAGTAGTCTCGACCATAAGGGTTTTCTTCTTACTCGCTGAAGAAACGGTAGACAGTCTGATTTTTAAATCATTTTTCTTGGGGCTTTCACCATCTCTACCAGAACCCAGACCTCCCTCCAACTTGGTATTACAGAACTTTGCAATATGGCCACTATTCCCACAACGATAGCAAATGGTCACGTGTCTATCCATTTGCCAATTCTTATCATAACCTTGGAGCTTAGTATTAACTGGTTGTTGATTAGCCAAGGGGCAGGATTTTGCCAAATGTCATGGCTTTTGACATGAATAACATAACTTAGTTTGTGGCCGTGCAGTATTATTTTGCCTGAAGTTGTTCATAGTAGGGCACTGTCTGGACACATGACCAAATCCATTACACGAATAACATGTTTTGGCAGCATTCAAAGAACTAACTGAGCCAATTGTTGTTCTACTTAATTTTTCTGTCGCTTCTCTGGCTAATGTTTTCATTGTGGCATTTGCTGCCTCAAATCTTCGAGCAATTAACAAGGCTTCATCTAAACTGTTTGGTGGCTCTTGTAACAACTTGTTTTGGGTGGCCTTATCTCGCAACCCCAAAATAAATTGATCAACCAACCTGCTAGAATATTCGTCACCATGGAAACCACATCTAGTTCCAGCTTCTCGCAAAGAAACAGCATACGAATCAACAGACTCACCAGGCTCCTGTTCTCGACGATGAAAATTGTAACGTTTCTCCGTAGCAGTCTGATTCCTTTCAAATAACGAATTCAACTTTCCAATCCAATCTTTGTACGCGTTTTCCCCTTATCCAAACTCAACCGGTTCTGCCAAACGAAACGCATCTTCGCTCAAATTAAAGAACAGCGCAAATCGTCGCTTTTTAACATCTTCAAGTTCCACTTCTTCGAAGTACAGATTACATTTCTTGATGAACAAATCAAAGTCTTCGCCAATTTTAAACTAGTCGGGCCTTCGAAACAATGACAATGACAAAGATAACTTATTCGTCTCAACGTTCGGTGCTTCTGCTTGCTCAGGCTCGACCGCCATGTTTGCACGATACAAAACACACTCGAAAACAAGTCAAAATGTCACATCATTTCCGCAAGTTTGGTCTCGGTGGGACCTCCAAAATTGTCACGAAGCACTACTGGACTAAGATAATACCAAAACTCTTTAAATTATTTCTTTAATTACGATACTCAACAACGATTAATCTCCACAAAATACATCTCACGATTTCACCTTAACTCTACAATATCTCACCTCCATGCGGTTCTCTCTTCCAAAAACACATGCACTAAAAGGCACTAAAACACATACACTAAAAGGCACTAAAACACATACACTAAAAGGCGCTTCTTTACACGAGCAATCGAACAGGACAACTAAGGTATGTCTATGATAAAATAAGCGTTCACGTGCTGTACGAGGTTTAGCGACTCTGGGGGTTTCCTCAGAGCAATACAGAAGCATGCTTATTCCCATCATAATGTCCAAATTGCCAAGTGATATATGTTTAGAAATTGCACGAAAATCAAAAGGAGACGTATGGAAAATCGATGACTTGTTAGATACTATAAAAATCGAGATAGAAGCGAGGGAAGTCAGTGAGGGGTGCGGTCAATTCCACAACGACCGGGTAAACGACCCGGGGGTCAATCAACCGTAGGGGCATTTGTTACGAAGGGCGGTAATTCTGGAAAATTTCAAATACGGTGTGTTTATTGCGAAGAGCTGCACTGCTCTGCTTCATGTGAGAAGGTAGTAAGTAGCGAAGATCGAAAAACGATTTTAAGAAACTCGAAGCGCTGTTTTAATTGTCTTCGCAAGGGACACCTAGCGAATGTTTGTGCAAATGCTAAAAAAATGCCGACACTGCTCAAGGAAACGCTATCAATCAATTTGTCCTAATAACTCGAACTCGAAAACTGAGCAAAAACAGATGGAGAACAAAAATGCGAGCCAAACAAACAAGGACGGTGAAACAAGGACATTAATTGGAGTATGTAAGGGCAGCGATTGCTGCAATCTGCGAGAGCCGTTGCGACTAATGGTTCTAGGTCAAAGCCCGTGGGCATTTTATTCGACACTGGTAGTCAGCGGTCGTACGTTACTAATGATCTTGCTAAGCAACTAAAGCTAACACCACTGAAACGAGAGACTTTGCATTTAAACACATTTGGAAACAGCCAAACGAAACGGGAAAATTGTGAACTTTTCAAGTCCAATATTCGAAGTACGAGGGGAAATGAGAGCGTTGAGCTTAGAGCAATTAGCTTTCCGACCATTTGTTCGCCTGTCATTTCTGTGATAAATGTCAATAATTACCCACATCTTCAGGAGCTACAGCTTGCAGGTTTCGATTCAAAGGGAACATGCAATGATAACATTGACGTACTAGTCTGTGCCGATTTCTATTGGAGCATAGTTACTGGAGACGTTGTTCGAGGAGATAACAGCCCGACGGCCATTTGTAGTAAACTAGGGTGGCTCTTGTCTGGACCTTCAACGCAGAATTCTACCTACGAGTCTACAACGAGCAACCTTATCTTAGCTGGAGAATGTATCGACAACTCCCACGCGCAGACCGACAGCAATGGTGAGCTAACAACCGCGCTTTCACGTTTCTGGGAAACCGAAAGTATCGGAATTAAGTCGATTGAGGAAGTAGGTAGCCCTGACAGAAGCAACTTCTTGAAAGATATACGATTCACAGGTGAACATTACGAGGTTGGACTGCCATGGATTGAAGATCGACCGGAAATTGGAAATGATTTTGATCTCTGTTACAATCGTTTAAAGTTGCTTCACCGAAAATTAAAGAAACAGTCAGAGTATAACAAGTGCATCGAAGATCAAATCCAAGCAGGTATCGTGGAAAAGGTCCCGGCCGCAGAAGACAACAAGAATCAAGAGGATGTGCATTATCTTCCGCATCATGGAGTTATCCGAAATGACAAAGTCACGACCAAGTTACGAGTAGTCTATGACGGTTCGGCAACGACAGCTGATCGGGAACATTCGCTTAATGACTGTTTGGCGACCGGACCTAATTATATTCCTCAGATTTTTGAAATGCTTGTAAAATTCTGAGCTAATCGTGTTGGATTGGTAGCTGATATCGAAAAAGCTTTTCTAATGGTAGGGATCAGCAACAAAGATCGCGATATGCTACGTTTTTTGTGGTTCAAGAACATTGAACATCATGACCCTGAACTAGTTCAATTACGATTTTGCCGATTAGTGTTTGGTTTGAGGCCGTCCCCAGCTATTCTGGGGGGCGACTATTAATCATCATCTAGACACTTTGCAAGAGAACAATCCAGAAATGGTAGAACATTTACGAGAATCCCTGTATGTTGATGATCTGGTGTCGGGTGCGCAGAATGATGAAAAGGCATTCCAAATTTACGAAGAATCCAAAGAAATAATGTCAACCGGTGGATTCAATTTACGAAAGTGGCATTCAAATTCGAGTAGTTTGATGAATTCTATCAATGCCTTAGAGGATAAGGTCGTTTCAAGCTCTACAGACAACCAACCTGGCGTTATCGTGGAGGATTTATCGTATGCGAAACAATCGATAGCACAAGAATCTGCACCAGCAAATAAAACACAAATTAAAGTTCTGGGGAAAATTTGGGACACTGATACGGATATGTTGTTTTTCAATTTCGAGTAATTAATCGAGTATACGCTAAATCGTTACCAATGATAAAACGTTCGTTTTTAAAGTGGTCCTCGAAGATTTTCGATCCATTAGGTTTCTAAACGCCATTCACAATTAAGTTGAAAATGCTATTTCAAGAACTGTGTTTAGCTAAGACAAGCTGGGATGAGGGCTTGCTGCTGTTAACTATTTGAGAACTCTTTACGAGAATGGAACTATTGACGTTAATTTAATAGCATCCAAAGCTAAAGTGGCTCCCACCAAGAAACAAACCATACCGCAACTCGAGCTATTGGGAGCAACAATTTTGGCAAGGCTTCAGAGCAACATTTCGAAGGCTCTTTCGTTGAATGTTCAAGAGTTTTATTGGGTTGATTCAACTGCAACAGTTTGTTGGATAAAAAACGAACGTTTATGGAAACAGTACATACAGAATCGTGTTACTGAAATAAGAAAATTGTCCTAACCAAAAATGTGGCATTTTTGTCCTGGTATACTCAATCCTGCCGATTTGCCGTCACGAGGAATCTCCGCTTAAGCTCTCTGTCAAGAACGATTATGGTTAAAGGGTCCTGATTTCTTGTTCCAATCGGAAGACAAGTGGCCGACCAATCCCGGGAAAGGTACGATTGATAACGACGACGACGTTTTATGCGAAGCGGTAAAAGGCCCAATGGGCGTAGTACGCTCGCTTCCAGCGAATATCAGTGATGAACCCAAGGGTGATTCGCGCAAATATCAATGAAGTTATCGATATCGACCGTTTTGGTAATCTGAAGAAATTATTACGAGTAACAGCTTACGTTTTGAGATTCGTCAACGCGTTAAAGAAAGCGAAGCAATATGATAAAGGATCGAGAGATTTGAAATTTCTGTCAGCGTCAGAAATCGAACAGGCCGAAATTATGTGGTTGTGTTCTGTTCAAGAATTGTCGTTTGCGAAAGAATCGGAATTTCTGCAACGGAATGTGCAGAAATCACCGCCACAACATGTGACACAATTCGGGTTGTATACGGATGAAAGTCCCGTTATACGATGTATGGGTCGACTCGACAATTCTTCCTTAGGCTTGGGAAGCCGACGTCCAATTCTAGTTCCTTCTAAACATCGTTTTGTGGAATTGTTAATCCGAGAGGTTCATGAACAAGTAAAGCATAATGGTATGCGAGACACTTTGACTACAGTACGCGAACGATTTTGGATCATAAGGGGGAGAGAAGCGGTAAAAAGAATAATTTAGGATTGCGTCGTGTGTCGTAAAGCGGAAGAACTGCCATATAATTATGGACAAGCCCCAGTTCTTACTTCCTGTAGGGTATCAGACGATCCACCATTCACAAACGTGGGCCTAGATTTTGCTGGGCCATTGTATGTACAAGGTAAGAAGAACGAACTTGACGAGAATTCAAACAAAGTTTACGTTCTGTTGTTCACCTGTGCGTCAATTAGAAATTACGCCATCCTTAACTGTGAAATCATTTTTGAGTGCATTTAGGAGGTTTACAAGTCGAAGGGGATCGCCGGCGCTTCTTCTATCAGATAATGCAAAAACATTTAAAGCTGCTTGTAAGGAAATTCGTCGATTGTGTCGAGCTGAGGAGGTGTGACGTTATCTGGCCGACAAGAAAATATCGTGGAAATTTATCGTCGAGAAAGCTCCGTGGTGGGGCGGGTTTTGGGAGAGACTCATAAAAAGTATCAAGCGACCACTAAAGAAAGTAATTGGAAGAACAAGCCTTAGTTTCGATGAACTTCGAACCTTGATTGTGGAAATTGAGGGCTTATTGAATGCACGTCCCATAACCTACTTCTATGATGACACCGAAGCTATCTCGTATCCACTCGCACCGTCGCATCTAGTCTATGGACGGCGAATTACTACATCTCCAAACACCCAACATGAAGTGGTTAGTACCCATAAGTTATTAACTAGGAGACTTCGACATCACAAACAATTACTCGAGCGATTTGCGAATCAATGGAGAAATGAATATTTGTTGTCATTACGCGAACATTCGTATCCAAAACCGAGAAACAACCGGGAGTCAGGCATCGCAGTTGGAGATATAGTTATCGTTAGAAATGGAAAATCGAATCGAAACTTTTGGAAGTTAGCAAAGGTGGAAGAGTTACAATCTGGAGATGATGGAGTGGTTCGCGCAGCGACGATCATAATATGTCGAGAAAATTCAAGCCATTCCCAATTATTGCATCGTTCAATAAAGCATCTGGTCCCGATAGTAGTACGACAGTTGCCAGACGATCAGAAAGTAGCAGAGCAAGGAGAAGAAGATAAGCAAATACTACCTCAATCAACACGGCCTCAAAGAGATACTGCCATAACTGGACAACTTAGGCGGTTGAAGCAATCAGGCGTTTTGTAAATAAAGAACAAGTATGACAATGACACTGATAGGTTATTCATATTCAATAGGGATTAGTTGACAACATATTTGTCAACCCTGGGGAGTGTGAGAAACATTTGATCTTAAGGGAAAATGACGTCATATGTCTTCACCTTTGAGAATGTTCTATAAAGCATGCGTTTTATGTATAATGTAAATAATATAGGTTGAAGTTTAATACAAATCATAGCAAACGAGCACGAAGTTTACGAAAGTTTATAATAGCCAGCTTCAACCCTGCATTTCAAATGCAAGAAAACACTTGTGTGAGATTGACCAATTCCTGATCAAATGTTCTGCCATATACTATGATATCATCTAAATACACCATTCAAATTGTCCAGGGTAAACCGACAAGGACATGGTCCATCAGCCTTTCGAACATTGCTGGGGCATTACATAAGCCGAAAGGCATTACTCTGAACTGCCGTAACCCCCCAGCAACACCGAATGCGGTTTTCTCTTTATCGTTACTGTCCATTTCCACTTGCCAACAACCCGACTTCAAATCTAAAGTAGAGAACCACTGTGATCCTCCGAGAGCGTCAAGCGTATCGTCGATGCGTGGTAACCGATAGGAGTCCTTGACCGTGATGTTATTGAGTTTTTTGTAATCAACACAAAAACGCGAGCTTCCATCCTTCTTTTCGACGAGAACAATTGAGGAAGCCCAGGGACTTGTCGAAGGTTCGATGATACCTTAGTTTTCCATGTCTGTTATAGCTTGACTCGCCGCAGTTCTCTTAGAATAGGGAAGTCGACGTGGCGGTTGCTTGATAGGTCTTGCATTTCCAGTGTTTATCTTATGTTTCACAAGTTTAGTTCTTCCGAGGTCATTAGGTCCTTGGGAGAATATGTCTGTGTTCTCGCAAAGAAGGTTATACACTTTAGTTTTCTCATCTAATGATGTCAAGTCCTTTATACTGTTCTCATATAAACTGTCTAAATAAGATCGATGGAAGTTTTCGATCTTTCGCTGGAACATTCTTCATTCTATCATTGCTTTCCATGCAACTTTCGTCAGAAATACGGGCAACCAGTTAATTCACACTTAGCTAACTCTGACCCAGCTTTAACTGGCACTACTGCATCTGACAAATTAGTTAAAACCTTTCCGACTAACAGCTCAGGTGTTGCCTTTCCAGGCATAGCTCCAATAATACCAAACTCTGACTTTCCGTTGTAATTCATAATCTTGGCTGGAACGATGGTCTCAGTATGAGGCTCTACACTTATCCTGCATCGCGACTACTCGATAGCACGGAAAACCATAACCACCATCATCGTTCAAACGGTCCAATAAGGGTACTCGCATGTCTTCAATCATGCATTTATTCGTCATATCCAAGCAACACCCGTGTTGCTCCAGGAAGTCACATCCCAAAATGCATTCTTCGTTCATGTCCGCTATCCAAAAACTTTGGAAGAATTCACGATTTCCTATGCTTAGCTTTAGTACAATTCTTCCAAACAGGGACATCTTCTCACCTGTAACTAAGCGCAAAGAGTTCTTAACTGGTTGAACATTTTACATATCTAGACCAAATTTCCGTAATGTCTGTTCGCTTAATATAGAAATGGTACTCCCCATATCCACTATCATTCGACAATTTTCTACAGTTCCCTCAACATACAAACCGATTGAACAGTGTCCTGTGCTCTCTCTAGGGTTTCCTCATTTATCTCTGTCGACCCTCTCCCTGCAGACCCGACTGCTCCTCGTTTCCCCGAATCTGTTCGTTCTGCAACCTCTTAAAAGTTGGGCATTCACGTTGGATATGTCTTTCAGAGTTGCACGTCCAACACTTACGTTTCTCTCTAGATGGGATTTTTCTGGAACTTTGTTTCTTTGGTTCACGTCACTTACTATTTTACGTAACTCGGCAGTCATTAATTTTAATTCAGCTAAAAATTCATTGTTCTCGCTGACCGTGTTGTCTGCGTTAGTAACCGTACGACCAGCAGCAGCACTTCGGTCTTCATCGGGTGCCGAACCTTGTATTGTTCTCACATATCTTGTTCTACGCTTAGTTGCGAGAGTAAATGATTCTCTAATGAGACACCAAGGGCTGCTCGTTGCGGGTCTACCCTGAGCGACTCTTAATCGAAGTTCGTCATCTACAAGAGCGTCGATGAATTGGTCCTTGGCTAAGGTTTCCAATACCGCTGAAGTTGCCTCGGGGTAGGCCAGCTTTGCTAATCTCTCGATGTCCTCCGCCAATTCTGGCAAACTTTCCTCACGCCGCCTCGAACGACTGCGAAGTTTCATCCGATGCAACTCTGCTTGTCGTTGACTCGCATATCGACTTTCGAGGGCTGCAACCAAGGAAGGATAATGGTTTCGATGCTCTGGTGACAAGTTCGATAAGACAGTAAGAGCATGTCCCTTTAATCTGCTAGCAAGAAAGCGGCTTTTTCTCCTTCAGACCACCGATTAATGCCAGCTACTATTTCAAATTGCGTACGATAGGAGTCCCAGGGTATCCGACCATCAAACGTCGCAGGCTTTTGAATAGGACGAGTGGCTCCAAGTTGGGGTTGAGGCATGGTGGTTATCTCCGCGGTCTGCGCGATGGGCGTAGTAACTGGCATAAATAGACGACTTTCTGCAGACTGCTGGACTGTTGAAGGAACGACGGTGGAATACAAATGCTGCACAGGGATAGAAGTTGCAATCCTAGACGGGGAGGGTGCTTTCATCGTATCCACCGTGCATCCGTGTTCGGGGCTTCTGAAGGTAATTGTATCTTGAGTTTTTCTATCACTTGTTGAAATCTCCCGTTTTATTTCAGGTCTTTCCAGTCGTTCTCGCGTAGATTTCTTTTCATGTAGAATTTCAGTACGGAATTCTTCGAAGGCCGTCGAAAATTCGCCACGCAACTCTGTCTTGATTATTTCTTGGCTGGAGGCTAGCATACCAGCGTGAACAGCGACTAATAACAGCGACTCTTGATTTAACTTGTTTGTGGTTTCCAGCTGTCCGATTTTTGCATGTAAATCAAAGACTGTTTGTTCAAGTTCATTATTCTTGTCACATAACCGAGAGAAATCCAGAGATAATCGCTTCAATTCGCCGGTTAGTTCGAACAACTGTCGGTCATGTGTCTCTTTATAATCGATCATCAAAACCCGTTGCTCATCAACTGTATTCAAAATCTCTCGCTGAAAGTAGCTATCTCCCCGACGTGACAACTCTTGCCCCCTACTGGCTTCAAGTAATTCTTCTTGCAACGATATATCTTGATGACCAAGTTGATGGGCAGACGAGACATTTTGCCCATCGTCTCGAATTTCCAAATTTTCATCGTTTTGCTCGAGCGGTTCTTTCATAGCAGCTCTTGCTCTGGTTTCCGTTGGCATATTTGTCAATACCTTCGAAGTTGTTTGCCAAACAACTCCGTGTAGTCCTGGCGGGGCCGCCAATGTTATAAATTAACTCTCAATACTCTCAATAAAACAAGAGAAAAGGAACGTTTCGTTAGTTTCTACATATATTTTCACAACAACAACAAGTACACGTATACAGCGTCTTTTATAACATAAGATTTTACGAATTTACATATATATTACAATAGGATTAGTAAAGTCTTTGTTCAGGGCTTAGTCCATTACTGTGGGTTGATAATGATGTAAAGTGTATTGCCTTCAATCATAACTTCCCGTAGCTGTGGTAGAATGGAAAGTACACTATCATTGTCATGTTTTGGTATACTTAAGTTTCCTTGCAAGAAACTTAGCACAGTTAGTAGAGCTATTACAGTGCAAGCATTGCTGGTCAAACCATTTGGACTCAAACTATACTGACACAGTTCCTGGGGTAGAATGAACTCAGTTGCTGTCGCATTATGCTTTATCATTTGCACACTGTGATAACTGTTTGCCTTATCTGGTGTTAACACAGGCTTCTTATGCCATTCACATTGGCATTTCTGATTCTTGCTGGCGGGTGAACACTTCTTATTTTCACACATTGGACATGTCTTACTTGCTTGCATTGTGCGATGACCTTTTATTGGATGTCCACAGGTTTTACAATGTGGTGGACAGGAATACTTAGGAACAGGCAAATTTGTAGAGACTTGTTGGTGTTGAATTAGAGTTGGCACTGGAATTGTAAGACTGGAAATACCCTCCTTAATCCTGTCTATTTTAGCTGCCAAAATCTTCGTTTGTTTCCTCATGAATCTTGGGTGGTCTATCTGGTGTATTGTTTTCAGGATTTCCCAGGGCTACATCAGCATTATCTTGACCACTAAATATTTGATTTTGTGCAGACATAACAACCTGTAAATGGTTGGAAATTCTGTAAATTTTATTGTTCTTTTGATGTGGCACTAGCCTCGGCCCACTAAAATACTAAATAAATACAAGTGTGCTGACAGTACAGCAACTCGATTTTGAAATCATAACCTACTCAAAATTTGCGTAGGGTTTTATGGCTGCCTTGGCTGGTTATGATTTCAAAATCAAGTTGCTGTATTGTCAGCACACTTGTATTTATTTAGTATTTTAGTATATTAAATTTTCCTTGACAAACTTTGAGTGATATCCTTACCAGGTTCTTTGTAGCAGTTATTTATAATTACTGTGTAGTTATATTAAATCTCATTTACACGACATGCAGACAAGTGAACAAATTCTTTGCTAGCTAGGCCAAATATATCAGGTTCAAACCATTCAATACCCATTGCAATCAAGCAATTACCATAAACATATAAGCCCCACCCCCAATATAAGCCCTCCTGTGTATAATCCCACAATATTTTCTAACGCTCTGAAAGCTATTCCGAATATATGTCCCTCCCTCCTCTAATGTAAGCCCCTGTGTGTACAAGCCCTCATGGGCTTATATATTATTTGACAGGTATATTTATTAATGCAGCTTAGCCATACATATTAGAATACAAGCCCAGGACCGGCTTATATTCGGCAGAGGTTTACAATATTTATCTCACCTTATCTCGCCCAACATAGTTTGGCAGAGTTCTATAAATTCCACAGTCATTAGGGGTAATATAGGAATGAAAGGTGCGCAGTACGTGTGCCAATCACCTTGGCATTGACCAACATTATGCTCTGACAATTAACCTAAATTGATTCATGACATGTGTGAGAGCAGTTTCAGATTTCAGTGGTGGTGTCCCCAGTATTGGAGTAGGGCTCAATATTTCAGTTAGACATATTATTTGTGATTGTTGTGAACCTTCTCACTTAGATCTGCAAGATCATTTGAGATTTATTGTAATTAAATGTAAAATGAAACTTTGGGGAGTTAAGAAATACAATTAATTGACAAGACTGTCCTCTTGACAAGTAAAATTGCCATGCAGGCATTAGACTGTCTGAGAGTAAAATAATAAGCTTGGGTGCCATTAATAAGGGGCCGATTACATGGAGAGTTTTCAGCCAATTTGAACCCAGGCTGAGTTTTTTAGTCAGAGTTATATTTATCCCTTGTAGTAAACAAACCCGGGCTGAAATGTCATCCCGGGCTATCACGAAAGGCAATATTCCGCTTGTTTGAGCATTTAAAAGGCCGATTAGTCGACTATTTGACTTGTGTAAGACTGTGGTTGCAGATCGATAGTCATATAAAGTATTAAATATGAGACGAAACGCAAAATAAAGCCCTTTAAACGATTGTTTTTTTAGCCTGGGCTGGACTTATTTGCGATTACATGGGATATTTCATCCCGGTTGACAGGGCTGAAAATCTCATCCCGGGTGACATAAACCGGGATGAAAATTTCAACCCGGGCTGAAATTCAGCCCGGGTTGTAATTTTTTTCCATGTAATCGTAAAATTCATTATATTGAATTTATAAGGGACCCGGGCTGAAAACCTCCATGTAATCGGCCCCTTACTGCTGTATGGTTTAAAGTTGGTTACAAGCTAGGGCTTATAAATGCCAGAACTCATTCAGTGCAGAATTTTGTTTTGACACAAAAAACGATTACGCAAAGTAACTATAAATATTGAGAAAAAATTCTAGAAATTTGGTTTTAGTAGAAGCTTCACGATTTCCGAGCTAAAAGATAAAGTAAACTGCAATTTTTTAGAGGGGGCCAAATTTATATTTGTATGGTTTAAAGTTGGTTGCAAGTAGGGCTTATAAATGCCAGAACTCGCATGTGAAAACTGCTTGAATCAATTTATTTGACCCGTTATGAACCCATTTTTGTAACATTAATTCTTTAAGTGGCAATGCGCCCAACTACAATATTTTACTCTGTCTAATGCCAAACGATTTTACTCGTCATGTGGAGAGTGCTGTCACTCAATGGGTTCAATTGCATTGCACCCTATTTTATATGTTACTTTGTCTAACACCAACAATTTTACTTGTCAATAAGAGAGCACTGGTGCTCGAGATCAATGGGTTAACATATAAATAATGTCTAACTACTCTACAGTAAATTTGCCTGTAATTGGAGCCTGGTATATGTGACTCAATATTTCTTCAAAGTGTGTTCTAATGATACTAGCTGTCACTATTTTATAAATATAATTGACATTTCTCATTTAGAGTGATCCGGTGATGTAACTCATGTGGACAAGTTCTTTGGAATGTTCAAATAACAAGAATTATAGTGGTGTAGTGGTGGCACTTGCCAGACCTACCGTAACTGGAAAAACTAACAATGACTTTTCTCCAAAATGTTGTGGGTATGTGTTATATGTACTACAAGAAATGGCCCAAGGCATCAAAACAGGGAACAGCCAAAGAATAGCCCATGGAGCTACAGTTATAATAAATCTATTACATGTAACTTGATTGTACAGTTATAATTATTAATTTGATAATTATTCTTTGGCCAAGTTTAATTAAAATAATACAAAATTAATCAAGATTATGAATCTTTAATTTACCAACATGTTGCTTGGTACTGAGTTTCATTAAACAGTTAAACAACAGTAAAAAGCAAAAGCATTTGACAGAGTTCGAGATGATGTACTTTTGGACAAACTACAAAATATTAATATTAGGGGAAACCTCCATTCTTGGTTCTCTTCTTATCTATCCGGACGGAAACAACGTGTTACTGTTCCTGGCGGTAGTTCATCTTACCTCGCAGTTACTTCAGGCGTACCTCAAGGTTCTATTCTTGGACCTGTACTATTCCTTCTCTACGTTAATGATATACATGATACTATCATCGCTTCTTCCGTTTCCTGTTTTGCTGATGATACTGAACTATTTAAAACTGTTAACAACCAAACGGACAAGAATTTACTGCAAAACGATTTAAATAATCTTAGCACATGGTCAACATCATCAGGGTTAAACTTCAACGAACTTAAAACAAATTGTCAGACAGTTACTCGGAAAAGATCACCTTTAATCCATGAGTATGCTGTAAATGGTAAGCCCATTGGAAGACTCGACGAAGAATGTGACCTTGGAGTACGGGTAACCAACACTTTGTCATGGAAGTCCCAGGTAGTTGCACAAACCTCAGCAGCCAACAAATCTCTTGGCTTGTTCGCCGCTCTGTTAGTAACATTAATGTCGACGTTAACGTTCGCCCTCCAAAATATGTTATTGTTCTCGATTATTGAGGTCACGTGACGCTTTTAGTGCATCAGCGATAAACAATGAATGCTTTACAATATGAGCGGCGACGCACTTCTACGCCGAAAACCTTCGAATTAACTGCTTTTTCTGGCGAATTTTAGAAAAATCTCAGTAGCTACGCTACGCAGGGTTCCAACTGTTAAAAGTATGGCTGTTTGACAAGTCGAAAGAGTGGTCTTTCGTTATTTAAGTTACCTTGACCTAGAGTGGATAACTGACAAGAGACGAAAGCTTCGAAGGAGATTGCGCGTAAAGAATGGCTACATAGTACATGGATACTCCCGAACTGAAGCAGAAAATCGAGGAAAATAAGATTTTCCTATGTGAGCGTCATTTCAAAGAAGAATTGACATCTGATTGTAAGTACGGACTTTTTATCTTTGCGCGAAATTTTGTAATTGCTCGGCCTTTGTCTTATTGTGTATAATCAATATGGTTGAAATATTTGCGGTTTATATATTGAATGTATCTTAAATAACTGTGAATACTAGTCTAGTAATTGAATTTTTGCCCTTTTGTAGACTGAAAGAGGAAATCGTTAGAAACAGGAGCTGTTCCAACTGAAAATCTGCCGTTAAAAAGCCATGAAACCAAGCCAAGCATACGTTGGGTCCTTGAAAGACAACAAGAAGCTGGCACCCGTGGAGAAAAAAAGAAACGTTTGAAGAGTTTTGTTAAAATGTTAAGGGAGTTTCGCTTGATCCTTGGAGTATCACAGCATGTACCGATGATGAAATGGGAATTGAACTTCGGGACAGCGATATTCAATTCACAAATTTGTGCATTATAGATTCATGTTTACATTTTTGTTACATGTTTACAATTGGCTTCTCCCCTGATGATCACAAAATTTATTCAAGCCATAGATGACGGATGAACCCTGCTGAAATTGCTGAACTTTTGCTGTCTCTTCAAAGGGGGGAATTCAAGATATGCAAAGGTTTACGACAGAGAGAATACCTAAACTCCATTGCAAAGGATGCTATATTGCTATACAGTGTGTATCAAAATAATTCGAATCCAAAATAATTCGACTGCTGTTTATAAAATACTAAAGTAAACCATATAATTTTGATTTGGCAATAAAGAATAGCCTATTAGGTTTCCAATTATATCGTTCTTATATCAATAAGATCAAAAATGACCAAGAAATCGTGTGTTAAAACTGGTTGCTCGAAATCAAATTTTTCCGCCGATGGGAATTCGAAGTGAGACGTACAAACAAAAGATAATGCAAATTTAATTCATCAACAAACTGTT